GCTTTTCTTGTTTTTCTACCCAGACTGAGTGCCCCACAGACTTTATAGGACACAAAGACATGAAGGAAAATGCAAAGAGCTGAAAAAGTGACTTGTCCAAGCTCACCTAGTGGATGGTGTCAAGAGACATTCTTGCTTCCCTGCTCTGCCAGTAGATATGGCATAAAGAGCACACACTGTTCCCTCTTCAGATGGTTAGCCTAATGAGTATGGAGCATTTCAGCCAGTTGTAATTGACTCTTCAGCAGGAAAAAGAGAATTACGAGCTTTCAGCTAACCTACACAGGCTATCCATTGAATTACTTCCTTTAAAACAAGCTTCTTTGTAGACTCTAGACAGCTTGGGAAAATTGGTCAGAAGGGAAAGAAAGTTTTACAGGGAAATCACCACTTGCCCATGGTGTTCAGTGACTGGTGATGCACAGATATATAGGTTTATGGCCAGAAGCAGCCTTCAGATTATTTCAGTTGACATCCTGTGTAACACAAAGCATTCAATTTCACATTCAGTCCAAGACCTGTAGTATGAAACCAAAATTCTCTGCTCATCTAAAGTGCATTTTTCAGAAAATCATCAAATCAAGAGATGGAGAATTTGTCTTGCCAATTGATTCAAATATTACTATCTTCACTGTTAAAAAATATGGTTTATTTCTATTTTTTCTAATTTATTTATGCTAATTTTAAATCTTTTGGCTTTTAACCTGTCTGATGAGTTTTTCTTTGTCCTATTCCACTACAGTCCCTGGGTCTAATATGATCTAAAATACTGCATATAGCTAAAATAGCACATATAGCTAAAATACCCAGATTTTCTCCAACATAATAGAAGACTTCTGTGAAATTAACAGTAAATGAAGTGTCTGACCTAAAGGGTAGTGAAGAATGAAAAGAGATAATTATTGCGGTAAGACCAGTTCTCACTATTTTCACAAAAGAGAGTTTTTCATTTATATCATCTGCTTTAGCATCACATGCTAAAGGAAATGTTTAGAAATATTTCTACATCCATGCAAACAGGTTAGGAAAGTAGAGGGTGTGGTAGTGAGAACCATTTGCCAAATCAAGTCAAAATCTAAGTAGCCTTGCTTATCTTTCAACCGAGTTATTTCAGGTCATGCAGATAATAGTGCAATCCTTTCCTACAGCGAAGTTTTAAAATTGCTTCTCCTTCCTCAAGGCCAGGTAAACAGGTCGTACCTTGCAATTTCCAGTTTATTTGCACTGGGAGTGTATTACTTTCCAGAAAAGCTGTGGCTAAAAGGTGTAAATCAAAATTAAACATGGCCAAATGGAAAGATGAGTCCTGAGACCAGGATCCAGCATATTAAAATGCTTTACCAAAGATAAAAAATATTTAGTATTAGAAGGCAGGAAATCAGAAGAACTCCAGTTATTCTCTGAATCCTCTTCTATTTGGGCGGAGCTCTATTGAAATGAGATACTCAATACAATATAGCAATAGTTTGGGGTTAAATTCAACTCTATGAAGAAGACTGTTACAAGTCAGTGTTTAATGGCCACTTAAGACCTCTTCTGACAGCTCAAACTATGCATGTCTTGTGCTAGTTCTTTGCAAAAGAGATGATTGTCACTCTGGGTCCCCTTTCCTGCCTATAGACAGGAATATAAAAAATATAAAGTATATAAAATACATAAAATATATAAAGATCTCTGTAGCATACAGGCTAGTCTCTGCATATTCTAAAAGTGTTGAAAAAACAGATTTCCCTTTGACTCATAGAGAAGAGACTGCCTTACACATGCATGTCTGGTGGGAGATGCTATTGTTACTTTTCAGCTCTCTGGATGATGAATTTGCTTCTTGCAAGCTGCAAAAATCCTGAAACAATTTGTAAGAAATGCTTCCACATAACACAGTCAATAACATAACAGTAGCAGATTATAATTGGTTTGGCTGGGTATAATAGAAATATGAATGTGCATACGGTATAAGTGGTGTGTCAGGACTATTCAGCACTTTTGCAAAGTTTCTGGAATGCAGTGGGTAAAAGGGAATGACAGTACTATATAAATGTCTGCACAGCAGTTGAATCCATCAAAATCCCACATCTTTAGTTCATCTTCAAGAACTTCTCAAAGTGCACCAGTGCCACACAGAGACCGATGTAGGAAAACACAATATAGCTGGTAGCACTCTCTCACATATGGATACCCATACCCAGAAGAAACACCAAAAATCATCTTGGGCTTGAAAACATCAACGAACTATTCACTGCTGTTTCTATTTCTGGCCACATATGATTTTCTGACAGAGGGTCCAATTTACTGGTGTGATTCCACACCATAGAATTCAACAGGTTACTTGCCTTCGATTTCAGTAGCAGAAAGGTTAGGTGCTAGGGTGGAATTAATACTGATTATTTCCATTCTTAAAAACAGATGGGTAATTTAGGTGCATTAGTCCCATTGATAGCCCAGATCAGCAAGTTTCCTTGAGGTATCATTTCCCACTGAAAGCAGCAGCAGCTAAATACCTAGGAAATATTAAGTATGTGGGTCAAGTCATAGGCACTTTTGAAACTCCCCCTCATTGCCCTAGAATAGTAACCCTCTATTTTCATTCAGTTAATATTTAAGTCCGTGATCCATGTGTGGGACTGGATCGTGCTGTATCTAGGCTGCCTTTGGTAGCTGTTCTCAAGCTTGGGTTCACGTTCCCAGAACCAGCTGCCCCGAAGCAGTTGCTATCCCACTGTCTGTAGGGGCAGAGCTCTAGGAAGTTGGTCCCTGCTGTGTCTGAAATCACCCCAGACTACAGCCACCCCATCTAGCAGTGCAGATATCAATGGGTTTGGGTTCAAAGTTTAGCTTCTATCCCTAAGATAAGGGCAATACATGGATACACAGTGATAAATAGTAACACTTACATAAACATAAATTAAAATAGAAAACAAAGTCTCCTTTCAGAACTGTTTGTGCTTTCTTAGTAATCACCACTCCTTATTTACCAAGAAAAAAGGTCACATAGTAATGCCTTTTTTGAAAGCTTCAGTCCCTTGAGTAGCCTTGTGAGATAAATCTCTTTTTCCATAGGAGTGCTGGGGGGAGGAGGGAGTGTCCAACCAACTGTAGCCAACTTAGAGCTCTGATGCCATGTAGACAACCATATAATGCAAAATATTTACTGTAAAACAATGGGAAACATTGAGCTATGATCACTTTAGTCCTTTGCACAAACAAGGCTCCTCAAGAGGTCATGTAATTTCACAGGCATGTGTCCTTGCTGCATGTTAAACAGCAACTTGTGACGCACAAGTCCTCCTTTTTCAAACTGGGTGAAAGTCATCTCTCTATAAACATGAGCCACGAGCTCTTTCAGTCTCGAGTCCTATTTCAGAGCATGAAAGGGATTTAAAAGTGAGATAGAAATATAATGAAATCACTGCAAAAGTAAAACTACTGTTTAAAGAAGTATTTCTGCAAGATAAACTAAATCAGTCTCACCTCCAGACCATTGCCTCATATTCCATTTTAAAGATTAGATCCTCAGCTGGGTGAACAGCATAGTTCTACAGAAGTCACCTTAGCTCAGACAAGAATTTACTTGTAAGGGTTCAGCCCTAAGAAATGTATTGTTGTGATATTTTGGAGAACCAGCTGGGCTGACTGAAAGCACGAAATTGTAATTCACAAAGAACACCAGCCAAAATATATGTATTATATAAATATTAATAATAAAAGGTCATAATACATGTAAGCGTACTACAAAAATAAAAAACCTGGAATGTTTGCCTAGCAGTTTTACTTGGGAGGTGAGAGCAGGTAATGTATGAGCAGAGACTGATCACCATTAGTGACATTATTTTAAAAAGACGCTAGAGGTCAAATTCTGGCATCAAATTTACACGCTGGTGGGAGGGTCATGAGATACCATCTTGCCTTCTGCCAAAACTCTCTCTCCAGAAATTTTCTGGACTGTGCAAGAATGATGCTCAGCCTCTATGTCCAAACCAGAGTCAGCCAGAAATCCTCACACTCTGCCTGCAAACCAATTGACTGGAACTGGAAGGGACAGCTGACATAAGTGAACTCTTTGACAAAGAACTCAGCTGCTTGGCAGCGAAGCTAGAAAAAGCTGGACTTTGCCAGCCTTGCACAGAGGTTACCACCAAATACACTGGGCTAGTGTTGTCAGACAGGATCTTTGTCAGGCAGCAGGTTTGATGACATCCTATAGCTCAGAGCTACTTGCATTTTATTCTGAAGACACAGCATTCAGCAGGAAAATCTCATAGGAATTAGAAGAGTAAAGGTGTAATGAAAACAGATTTAAAACTCCAGGAAAAAAACCTGCCTTAGCCACTTACATTCTGATGACCTGAATGCTTTGGCTGTCTGTGCCAGCCTCACAGATTTGCATGGTGTTATAGGTGGTGTCATTTAGCAGGGACCTAAGTTAGGTGTGAGGTGGGTCCCCACCAGTGGGTTCCTCCTGCCCGGGAGCTCAACCCAGTGCCAGGTTTCTGTCCCCTTCCATCCTGTTCAGCCAAGCCCACTATGGGCCAGACCCTGCTGCCATCTCCTCTCTGCTTCCCCCTCCGCTGGGCTGGCTGGGCCTCGGTGCTGTGAGCCAGTGCCAGCCACACCTACCACCCAGCTGTACAGCATTCATGGGTTCTTTATGTATTCTCCTATTAAGTCCATAAGGAAAACTGCTTTTTAAAATGTGAAAATATAAAAATACATGTGCCCATAGAGACTCAACCTCCATCCTTGGGCAAAACCCAAAAGGAAAGGTCCTACCCAACCAACGGCACCCGGCCCTGCTCTGGCACTAGACAGACGCCCCGCACCTTTAAAGGCCGCGTCCCCCCCGCACCACCGAGAGACAGAGACCCGTGAACCCGGAGAAAGCTCGGCGAAAACGCGACACACCCCCCGCTGCCCCTCGGCCCGCCGCAACGCTCGGCGGGGCGGTCCCCGGCCCTGGCGTGGCGGCCGCGGAGCGCGGCGGAGGCCGGGAGGGGCGGGGCGGGGCGGGGCGGTGTGGGGACTGCCAGTGCCCCGCGCCCGGCCGCCGCCTCTCGCCGCCGCCTCTCGGCGCCGCGCAGAATGGGGGCACCGGCGCGGCGGGGCTTCTCCGAGGAGGAGTTTCGGGCCGTTTGCCGGGAGCTGGACCAGACGGTGTCGACCGCAGACGGGCCTTGGGAGCTCCTGGTGGAGAGCACGGGCGTGAAGATCTACCAGCTGTATAACGAGGTAGGTGGGCGGGCGGGCTGCCGTGCCTCGGGCCCTGCCCGCCCGGGGCTGCGCCCTGCGTGGGGGAGCGCCCGCGAGGCGGGGAGCCGGGGGTGCGGGGCTGAGGAGCGGGGTGCCTGGCTGCCGGGGGCAGGGCAGCGCCGGCGCGTTCCCGCCCGGGTCAGGCTGGGGCCCGTGGCCCGTCCAGGCGCTACCGGTCGGGGCTCAGTTTCTCCAGGCTCCCGGAAAGCAGCTTTCGGGGTAATGCTGTGAACTGCTGATGGAGAAAGCTGCTCGGCTGCGGTGAGCACCGGTCCTGCAAACTGCTGGGGGAACCCGCAAACTGTGTGGCTCTTAAAGCTTGTTAACAGCCGGTGGCTGGAGAAATTCCCGGTGGAAGGTGCTTTCGGCGACAGGAGCAGTCGTGGGTCTAACAGGGCATTTGCTCTGCCTGCCCCACTTCTCTCCGAGCCCCCTCTCAGGGGTGCGTGTGGCAAAGGAGAGACCGCACATCAGCTCCCGAGTGCTTCCCATGTTGGAGCATCCTCCTGATCTGCAGACTCCTGCTTCCCTTCCTTTTCCCTCTCTCCAAAACTCCCTTCAAAGTGATTTTCCGCATTTCTCCCTCCAAAATCAGGCGGTAGGTAGTTCAGAAAGGGTTGTGTCCTGGTTTTGGATGGGATAGAAGTATTTTTTTTCCTAATAGTTGGTACAGTGCTGTATTTTGGGTTTAGTGTGAGAATAACATTGATAACACACTGATGGTTTACTTGTTGCTCCTTAAGTTTTTTTTTTCCAGTTTCTGTGCTCTGCCAGCGAGCAGGTGGACAAGAAGCTGGGAGGGAGCTCAGCTCGCCAAAGGGCTATTCCTATACCACCGATCATCATGCTCAGTATATAATGTGGGGGGAGTTGGCTGGGAGGGGTAGATCGCTGCTGGGGGACTGGCAGGGCATTGGACAGAGGGTGGTAAGCAATTGTGTTGCATCACTTGTTTGTTTTTTTTTTTTTTTTTTTTTCCCTCCAGTTTTAATTATCTTTTTGTTATATCTCTTTTCCTTACAATTATTATTATTATTGCTATTTAGTTATTAAACTGTCCTTACCCACGGGTTTTATTTTTTTTCCCAATTCTCTTCCCCGTCCCACTGGGCAGGGAGGAGTGAGCGAGCGGCTGTGTGGTGCTTAGTTGCCGGCTGGGCCTAAATCATGACAGGTTGGAATGAAATTCCCCCTTTTGGGGGGGGACTTCCTTCTTAAAAGAAGTTCAAAACTTTAGACTTCCAAAACTGACTAGTAAGTGATTAATTTAGTAGGTATACCATAGTGATTTATGATTTAATAATGACTGTTGAATCCATATAAACGTCCTATTTCTTTATCTCTGATCATATTTACCTCTCAACTCCTTATAAAGCTGGACTTCATGCTGTGCTTTCATGAAAAATTTGTATTCTGAAAAATGGTTTCAGGCATGTTAGGAAAAAAATAGCAAATAAAACAAACATATAGGTCTGTGTGAAAGGCAAGACGGGGTAGGGAAAGTCTTGTTTTTAAAAAAGTCACTTGACACACCTTGGAACTTTTTGGTGGTAAATATTTACGGCCTGGACATGGTAGCTGGCGATAGCAAGATGAACTTATCAAGGGGCACGTGCAGCAAAAGTGAGCCTGTGGTGTCTGCCAGATAGCTGTGCAGGAATTAGATAAGCTGGGAGTGGGTGAAATTGAAACTTCAGATCTGGAGCTCATCACAGACCTGTGAATGCATCAGGGAAGGAAGGCAAAGTAACTTTGGGAAGTTGGAGGCTGGATTTAGGCAAATAAATGGGATCAGGTGTCCACAAGACTTGTATTGGGGCAGCCTGTGTTGCTGGGGCTTTGCTGCTATTGTATAAATTGAAGCTGGCTAGATGGAAAGTAGCTCAGGCTTCTCCTTCCCATGCTTTTATACAGAAGGACTATTGAGCTGACTAAAAAACACTGAGGTGTCTTTTTTTATTTTTTTTTTCTCCCAGTATATTGTACAATGACCCTAATTTAGGCTAGATGGGGGGACTAGGTAGGCTTCAAGGGACCTTTCTGAGTCCAGTCTTCTGATTCTGCCGGGAAACGAGTCTCTTGTTTGTTTTGTCTTTCAGTTGCTTCAAATTGCCACATGAGAAAAAGAACCAGGTCTAGGAGGAAGGTCTTTGCTTAAAACTGTTAGTGGAAAAATTGTTTTTTAACACTTATTGAGGTACAAGTCCACTATAGCAGTGGTAGATACAATAGTGCGTTGTATAGAAGCATGAACGTTGCAAAGCATTCTCATATAACAGCCTGAAGTATAAGCATACGTAACTTGCTGGAAAGCTTATTCCAGATCGTGCAGTACTTGATACCCTCCCAGAAATGGCTGAGATGTTGAAGCATGTTATGTAGCATCTGGAGACCTTGCCACAAGAATTTAATGCTTCTGGTAAGCTTCAGTATGGGCAGGATTTAGACCACACTGGCCACTGGAGATGAAAAGCGGTGCGTGAAGAAACATGTTGCCTTTGGAACTGCTTATGAAGTAGAAGGGTACTTGTGTAAGGGATGGAGCAACCATTGTGCAGGGCAGGGCAGCCTGTCTGGATTTAAACTTTCATGTATAGATCAAAAAGTCGAGAGGTTAAAGACTGAATCTTGCATTGTTTTTTGAACACTTGCTTTCAGAGCTGTTGAGCACATTTGTAGTATGTGCCCCACCTAACTTCCTTCAGCTCTTCTCCCTGCTGCAGAGTACTTCCCTTTCCTGTGTGACTTTTCCTCTTCCCATTCTGTTTCCACAGCAATCAGGACTATATGAGTATAAAATCTTTGGTGGTCTTGCTGACTGTCCCCCAAAACTCTGTTTGGATGTCTATATGGACTTAAATTACAGAAAACAATGGGATCAATATGTTAAAGGTAAGCTCATCTAGGCAATTTAAAAGCAAGCTTTATGTCCTCGTTGACTCTTCCCGTTAAAACTTTCTTCAAAGGTGTTTTAAAGTTGCTGCATCCAAAGACTTTGGGCTAGACTTAAGTTTCTTTTGGGATAAGGTTGCACTCTGCAAATATACAAATAAAGACTGACATGGAACAGCTAATATCTCATTCTCGTATAGCTTTCTTCTGGAATTAATTATTTTCATGTTGGTTACAGCATATAATTGGCTTCACTTGTTATGCTGGACCACCTTGTAGTTTCTAGTTGTTGTAATTCCTAGGTTAAATTTTAGTGGATGTTCTGGAAAGAAATGGAGATGGTACATTTTGTGTATCTTTGCATACTGCAGTTGAGCAGTGCTATCATAGAACACCAGGTTGGAAGGGATGTCAAGAATCATCTGGTCCAACCTTTCTTGGCAAAAGCACAGTCTAGACATGGTGGCCCTGCACCCTGTCCAGCTGAATCTTAAGTGTCCAATGTTGGGGAACACACCACTTCCCTGGGGAGATTATTCCAGTGGCTGATCTTTTGTGAAAATGTTTCCTCTGGCTTGCACCAGTTTGACGCGTGATGGAATGCCTCTTCCTGAAAGCATTGGTTGTTCTTGGCACCTTTTACAATCAGAAATGGGTGTATCAAGAGAATCGTTGATGACTTGGGGCTTTTGCAGAGAAAGGAATACCTAATTTAATTGTGTTTAGTTAATGTTGTCTTTGAAAAAGGGAGTTGAACCTGGACATACATATGATGTTAAAACACCTTAAGTCAACACTGACAAGGCAAGGATTTAGCAGATGTAGCATCCAGTAATCCATTTATTTTAAAGATGGGGAGCCTCTCCTTTTTAAGCCTGTGCTTAGATCAGTTCAGGCCAAAAAAACTGAAACATGGTCAGAGTGTTTTGCTGAACAAAGAACGGCGTTAAAGACCAAAGGAGTGTTGAATGTTGTTTGTTAAGTCTAGGACAGCTCTATGGTGAACAATTACTGGTAATGCCTTTGGCTGTAGTGATACAGAAGACCACATATTTGACTCTTGTCAGTACTTGGTCAAGCTTAAGAAGCTATGTCTTCATTAGTAAGTGTTATTTGTCAAAACGGGCAATAACTTTCTTGCAGCAAAGGCTACTTTGCCACTAATGAAACAAAAAGAGCTGGAGTGGGATTCAACATTATCATATTGGATGTAAAATACCATGTCATCTTGAGTTATTTCAGTGATCTAAGTGCATTTAGGAGAACCGAATCCTTCTTAAACAAACACTTTTTTTTTTTTTTTTTTTTTAATGCCTTCTTGGAGAGAAGAAAGGAAGCAGTTGGGGGAAGCTACACCCTTAAACTAAAAAAACTAGATAATTGCCCAGAGCTAGCATTTATATCCTTGCTGCTGATGATATGTTTATCTGTGAATTTCTACTTGTGCTGGTACTTAAAGTCCAGCATTTCACAGAAGTTAACTCCTGAAGGACATAGACATAATGTTAATGCTTTCCTTTTAGCTTAAAAATTGACACAAGCCCACCCATTCTTTAGAACTAAACATGTGATGAAATAGTGCTAGCCAGCATGTTCAAGTGTAAACAATACAAGCTTGTTTTTTCTCCATTCTCATTTAGGCAGAAAACCTAGAAAACTTACATTCAGGGCCTTCTTGCTCTTTGTTTTACAGTTTGTTTTCCTTGTTGCTCTTACAGCTATGCAATAATGGCAGTCCAAAGAAGAGTTCTCTGCTGAACTGCTGGCTGACATTGCAATAAAAACTTGACCAGAGTAGAAGTAGCTGCCTTTTTAGTTGAAAAGGTAACTGCTCCTGTGCTAAGCATAAAAGGAGCTAATCTCTATCCCCTAGTTCTGTTCAGCAAAACTCTTTATGAAGGCCAGACTGGAGGCAGATATGGACATGATTCCTCTGAGTACTTCAGAGGGTTGTGCTTTGATCTGTTCTTGCCAAGCATTGCCAGAGGCCTGGGAAGTTTTGGCATCAGTCTGCTACTATTGTTGCATTGCTGTTAGTACCCAGGCTATTTCTGGGGCAGGCTTCTGGAGATCCACAAGATGTGGACATCCTGAGGCCTGCTCTGTGCTGAAGCTGCCAATTCAGCAGGGAAGCTGTGACTAGACTGTAGAGTAGTGACTGAGGTACCATCTGCTTCTGTGGCATGATACAAAATGGTTTGGCCTGAACAATACTGAAACTTGCTACTCCTGATTGCAACACTGACCTGGCTGAAATCATACTTACCAAGAATTTAACAGTCATGTTTGACTGCTAAAGCAACAAATGCAGCTGTACCTATTGTGAATAAAATTAACTTGTGATCTATTGTAGTAATGCTAATTGAAATCCGGTTATTGATTAAAACGTACTGTATTCTGCTTTGGTCAGAAGCTGCTCACTAGTATCGACAAAGTAATTACAGGTGGGACGTGACCTATTGTGTGTTTTTTCTGTGTTTGCAAAAATACAAAGGTAGACGAGTTAGTAGCCAACAATTGCATCGAGGTCTTTAAAACAGTGTCTTAAGCCCTTTGAAAAAGGAAAGCTTTTCAGTTAGCAATGGACGTAAAGCTAATAAACCAATGCTCCAGTGACCTCTGGTGGGTAGTGTAATTCTGGAGCTTATTACAGTGCTGGGAGTATTGTGCATCCAGTACTGCTTCAGCCTGGAGAAGAGGAGAAGCTGTTTTTGTGGGTGACAGCCGACTTGCAGGACATACTAACAAAAGCCTAATTTGGAACATGTTATGTAGGGAAGGAATCTCCCATCTGTGGTAGTCTTCTTGCCTTAGCAATGAGATTATCAGTCTGTTCTAGCCTGATTTTCAAAACCACTGAATGTGATGTGGCAGACTCTGCGTTAGCACTGCAGGATACACAGCACCTTTAGGCAGAAGTCTTCTTACAGGAGGAGAAGAATATTCTGACTGTTAATACAAACCACCTTTCCAGATCTCACCCTTTTTATCTGCACCCACGTAATAACCAGTCCCTGGACAAACAGACATTTACCCTGGCTTAGCCCCATGGCTTGTCAGGTCCATTACCCTCATAATAGCAGTTACTGCCTCAGGGAAGAAGCTGTGCAACAGGCAGTTTTTCAAACTCAATTATGTAGTTTAATTTGAATTAGTTTTTCTCCTTTATGCCACATTACTACACTGCTGTGTTTTAGTAACTATTCTTGGATATTTTTTTCCTATTCAGCTGCATTCTGATTGAGTTTCCAGGCAGACTGAAGATGGGGTAATGAAGGCTCATAAACTGCTCAAGCTTCTTGTTCACTGTTGCCTGCATATACTGCTGTGGAATTCCTAATAGCTTTTCCAAACTTCATTAATCCCTCATGTAAGACCACTTCGGGTATAGAAAGCAGTAGCTGTCCTAGTTCTGTGTTAGTTCGGAAACATTTACAGGGATAATGACATGCTTGTGAAAAAGCATACTTGACTTGTGGCTCAGAATTATACAGAATGTGCATAGACAAGGAAGAAGCTTTGAGATGGAAAGTCCTTGAATAAGCTAACTGTTTGAAAAGGAATACAATTCTGCCTCTCCCAATAATTGTTCTGATTTTGTTAGGTGGTTTTGTGGGTTGTTGGGTTTTTTGGTTTTGTTTTTTTTCTTAATCGATTAATTCAATAGCAGCAGAAAAACAGGCCACCTATTTTTGTGTATTTGGTTCCTGAACAACCCCACTACAGAACTTCTTATAATGTGTCTTCTGCAACTTTACGTACGTATCAATTTTGACATAAGGTTTGCATGTAAAATGTGTTCATGTCAGAAATCTGAGCAGTTCTTGATGCTGTATGTGATTCTGTTGCAGTAGAAGATAAAAATATCTAACAATCTTCCTTTTTCAACTATAGAACTGTATGAGAAAACATGTGATGGTAAAAAAATAATCTACTGGGAAGTGAAGTACCCTTTTCCTCTCTCAAACAGAGATGTATCCTTTCAAGTTTTTTGTTCCTCTTGCAGTTTTTGTCACCTGGTCATCCAGGGATGCTAACAATGTATGGATTCTACTGCTCTGCAGCATTTGATCCAAGATCTTGCAGCCCTCATGTTACATGAACATGTATAACGTGAAAAAGAATGTGGGTGCCTCTTCCTACACACAAGCTGAGTTATTACTCTGCAGTATTGAATCCTGTAGAAGCATAAGAAATATCTTGAAAGGGCTGGTATTTGTAATGGAATTCACTTGTCAATTCTTCATAAGTCAAACTGACACTGTTTTGACATGCCTCCTCAACTTGGAATACAGTATGTCTATGTTCGTGAATGCCGAGAGATGGATGTTGATGGGCGGAAGATCTGGGTTGTGTTAGCTCAAAGTGTGTCAGTTCCTCAGTGCCCTGAAAAGCCTAGTATTATCAGAGTTAAAAGCTATAAACAAAGTCTGGCAATTGAAAGTGATGGCAAGACTGGCTCGAAAGGTAAGAGGTCAAGAAAGTGTGATCACTAGTTGTGTAGCCAAAGAATGTATGTATTAGCAAAATGCACAACAGGGAGCCTGGAAATTTTAAGCTGAAAACCGTTACTATAAAGTGGATCTACTGAGCAGTAGGAATACTTAAAAATGAATGGAGCTTTTGGAAGCATCCACTGCAGGGTGCTACTGTTAGGAATCTTTTATTGAACAGGTGGGCTGGGTGGTTAAGAATAGACTACTGAGCACTTTGTTCTGCCCCCACTGCGCCCAGCTCACGCTTCTTTTCCTGCCAGGCAGTTCAGTTGGGTAGAGTCTGATACTAGCTGCAATCTGGTTAACTCAGCAATGAAAAAGTATCATGTTTGACAGGTTTACAGGTTAAAGGGTTTGCCTAGAGATTGACTCCCATCTGAGATTAGTCCTTGAAAGGCAACCTTACTTTAGTCAGCCCGTCTTTTAAAATGGTTTGCAACAGTCTAAATTAATATTATTTCACTTAAAGCTTTCCAGAAGTCAACTAGGAATGGCTATACTTACTTCACATTCCACTTAAGTACAAGTTGACTTTTCTGTGAAGAATTTAGAGCAGAACTATTGTACTTGGTGCTTTGATCATGCACACCAACAGCTTTTGTTGTATGGTATTAGAGCTAATACTTGGACTATGGCTGGATAACTTCCTGGTAACTTCTCTCTCCTCTCTAGTCTACATGTACTACTTTGATAATCCTGGTGGCATGATTCCATCATGGCTGGTCAACTGGGTTGCCAAGGTAAGTAAAGGTTGACAGCACGATTGTCTTTGGCTGATCTGTTTCAAACAATGCATTTACTACATCCATACATGTCTTTTGCATGTTAGGTAGAATAGTTTTTTTTCTGAAATGGATGTATTGACCTTTCTAACTCTTCTGTAGTCCCGTTTTTAGATTCTCACTATTGTCTGCTCTCATGGCAGCTGTCTTAAATTTTTTTGTTTATTCCTATCAAATTCCTTTGGTTAGTCAACCAGGCAGGTAAATTTGCAACCAAAATAACAAATCCATGTTCCAGAGCATATGTGAATGGCATTAACACAAGCAAACTTCAGTAATGTAGTCTGTTCATGAAGGATTAAAGGAATGCTCTGCTGCTTTCTACAAGATCTTAGAATTGTCCTGTATTTCTTTAAGGCCTTGATCTATAGTGGGAATTCTCATCTTGCTTATAGTTTTTCTTGTTTGCATTATACAAGAATGACTTTTCCAATTTTCTCTTCACAGAGTGGTGTGCCTGCCTTCTTGAAGGATATGCAAAGAGCTTGCCATAATTATTCTATGAGTACATAGGTCAAAGTTGATCTGAATTGTTTAATTCCTAGAGTTCTGCACTTACAGGGATGGCTATTCTATATTACACTGGATAAAATCTACCTCTAATATTGGAAAGAATTTTATTTTAGTTGGTTTTATGCCTTTGAATTTTATTAGGTCTTTGTTTCCATCTCCAACTGAAGAGCTAGCTACTGGCAAGGTTTCACCAACATCAGCTGCATCCTTTTGGAAGTACTTAAGTTTAGCTTTGTCCCCCGTGTTTTGCTTATGCTGATTGTCATGTGTCAGCTAGAGGAGTTCTGTTGATTGAAACATTACATCCTTGGACAAGAGACAACGATCTTGCTAGGAAAAATGTCTGAACTTGGACCCAAAATTCTCTGCACGTGTTATGCCTAGATCTGCTTTTGTGGCCTTGCAGGGTGGCTTCCTACTGAAATTGAATAATGGAATTTGCATTGCTTAGGAGGAAACGCTTTTGCTACCCACGTTTGTCATTCAACTGACTGCCTGCTATAAACTTAAAAAGTGCTGAGGGCATATATGTAAATTACTAGAAGTCTGCAGTAGGATCTGGAACTCTGTTACTAAGCTTCCTTGTGATAGCTTTAAGTCCATATATATAAAAGGACTTGTGCCTAAAGCCTTGCATTCACATCTCAATACCCCTGTACGAAAAGTAAAAACCATTAGGGATGTCCAACTGGAAAGAAAGGAGGATTTGGCTTCCGTGTCTGATTTAAGGGGAACAAGTTACATCTTCAGAGTCAGTAGCCTTATCAATAAAGCAGCTTGGATACCAGCGTTAAAATGGAAGTAATTTTAAACTGGATGCCCTCAACCGAATATGAGTGAACTTGATGTGAAACTTGAGCTTGCTTTCATTTTTAAATTTCATGCTGATGCAAATAATTAAACTAATTTTGGATGCTAATCAACTAAAAGCACAACTCAGCAGCAAATTAAATTTCTAGCACCTTTGTAGGGGGTGGGGCAGGGTGAGGGAGGATGGAGTGCATATAAAGTGAGAGGGCCTCAATCTCAGGGATTTAAAGTATTCTGCACTGTTACTAAATCTAATCCTGTTACTGAACAAATCTTGTAATGGGGTAGCTTTGTCTTATTTAAAAAAAAAAAAAAAAGGTTGAAGTAATTGCCTTTATACTTTGTGTAAATGCTTGTTTCCAATAAACCATTATTCTATCCATGTAGTGCTCTTGTTCTGTCTCTCACATTTAAGAGTGGCCATGCTGGGTAGATCACAAATGACAGGCTGATATCATGGGCTGTTTTAATTTAAAGGCTTTTGAAAGAATAACTTGGATTCATGATAACTATGTAGGATTCCGTGTGTTCTGAAGAACTTGCTGCCAGCAGTTTAGGCATTTTTCGAATGTCTTTGACTTGGAGACCATTACTGAATTGAATATTACAGTGCTAGTCAACTTTCAATCCATTTTAAATTTAGCTGTCACTTTTTTTTTCAGGAGATGAACAGACATCAAGACCAAATAGTTCTGAAGCCTAGTTCTCTAACTTTCCATAATTTTTATACACCTGTGCTTGCTGGAACTGGAGCCAAATTTTTATTTATGTGTACTGAAAATTAATTATCTCCATCTATCTACATCATACCAAGAATATGATGGTGTTTTATCTGAGTGTATCAATTCTCAATTTTTTTTTTTTTTTGGCAGTACTTAAAAAAACTACCTTGAGAATTCAGAAAGCATTTTAGCAGTGTTCTTTGTTAGGAATTGAAATGTCATAAGCAATGACAAGAATACCTGGGTTGCTTTTGAACGACAGTATGTGGGCACAAGTTATGTCCTGAAGCAAAGCAGCAGAGGTGGGACTAGGTAGATTGTTCAAAGAGAAGATGGAAAAGCAAAACAAACTATCCTAAATTTGATTACAACAGAAACTAAAAAGTGGATTAGATGAGGATGAATGTTCCTGGAACAATGATGCAAACCAACTGATTTCCAATTCCTTCTGAACAAAACTGATCTCTACCACAGTAGTACAAAACCTATCTGTAATTGTAAATGTACCTTAAAACAGAGTTTCAATGTTTACAAGAAATGTGTACCTAGTGAGCTGAGTATATGCACACAGATGAGGTACATGTACAGATGAGGTAATTTTTTTTCATCCTTTTCCTCCAACCAATCTGTAATTCTGTTTAGTCTTTAATGAAATGAAGGCAGGAAAAAGAGGGAAAGCATTTTATATATTCATAAACATGATTATATCTTTGTCATTTTACTTATTTGTCGTCAAGACATGCTATACATTTGCAGCGGGCTGAAACAGTAAGACTGAGCGTTCAGGAGGCTGAATGGCTCCCTTGTCAATCTTGCTGAAAACTTATTTCCTACAGTCCCCACGCTGAGAGTATAGAATAGGTGGCCTTTGATAACATACTAAAACCATCACACAGGCAGTTTCTTGTGCTGCACACAACTTCCCGAATTAAAACGCATTTGATTAAACATTAGCTACTGAAAACAGCATTTCCTCTGTTTGCAAGCAACTAACCAATGATGTGAGATGAATGCAACGTCAGATCTTCTCTTAAATATAGGTCCCCGTGGGCTTTCATAGTGACATAAATATACAATGACTCTTCAGTTTATTTCACTATGTGTTACTACACCTATCTTGTATTACTAGGGAAGAAAAAGCAGTTCTAGCTTTGTGTGATATGGCTTCTTGTCTAAATGGGAGATTATGACCCAAAAGAAAGTGTTGGTATTTTTCAGTCTTTCTAAGACTGAAATAAATGTCTAAGACCTTCATAGAGCATTTTAGAGCTTTATTCATGACTGATTAAATATTGATCTTGTATAACTTACACATGTACCCTGTGAACTTTTATGGATAGCTTGAACAGGAATTTACCTGCTGTGTAAGTTGTAAGTCATTATGCATTACGAATTCTGGTGCACAAGGTTTAAGAAAATGGACACACACCCCCTTCCTGTGCTCTGTGATGTAGCACCTGAAAATTAGCTTTTTGTTCCTACCAGCTTGCCTAAAAATGGAGCTCAAAGTTTGTTCTTTTAGAGAAACCTGTTGTAAACACAGGGTTGTTTGAATAAAAAGAACGAAGCATTTCCATTAGGTGATGACTGAGCCACTTTTCTATATCCCACCCCCATTAACAGATTGGTAGGTATCACACTCCACAGATTAATAGGGACTAAGGAAGTTTTGCTAGTATCCAAATAGAACTCGAAAAATCCTGTAGTTTCTGGCAATAAACAGGTGTCTGATCCAAACACAATAATCAGACTTTCCATAAATCATAATGAGATTTGGATCTATTCTCACATAGAACTTTTTAAAATTACTAGCTCTTACAAAAACATGTTTTTGCATGTTGTTCACATAAAGAAGTGGTTCCTTTTAGGGATGACTGGTCACCCGTCCCCTGTTTCCATAAAGAGTGATGTTGTAACAAAGTGAATATAAACCATTCTTCCACATTGTGTTCTAGTCATTCAACTCCATTCTTTTCCATGTGATCTCTCTGTAAAACTAATGTATTTGAGTTGGAAGGTAAAGTAAAGGAAAGATTCTGAGTAACCCAAAGTCAACATAGTGGATGATGCCAGATACACAATCACTGTAGTGCTGCCTCTCAGAAGATGATGTGTAAAGGGAAACACAAGTTGTCTTTGTTCAGGAAACACCTGGTTCATACTTCATTTCTCAAGCAGGTCATTGGCCGTTTTTATAATTTAGTGGAACAAAAATGTGGGAAGATAGGGGGATAGACCTCTGATATTAATGCACACTAGTAGACAATGTATCTTCCCACCAATACTTTTGCTTTCCATTATGTCAGTTTTCTATGTAAAATGAATGTTTTCAAATGAGATCCAATGGTATATAAAATTCACTTATCTGAGACTAATCTCTCCCTGAGCATGGATTTTCCTTCCTCTAGACAGGAGGACAGTTCATAACCAAATTTACTGTCCCACTGTAGACTTCTGATCAGAAGAGACTACTAGACTTTCAGACAGAAAACTTTGTTTTTCACTCATCTCTTCAAGGTTAGAATACACTGTAAACTTCTGTACAAAACCAGAAAGAAGGCTTACGACATGAGGCAAGTTGTTATAAATCTAGATGGACTATATGGAAGATAAATGCTTTCTGAGGAGCAATAACAAGAACAGATCTCTATAGCAAAATGAGTTTGGCTGAATATTTTTCATACCACTCTGGCTTACAGCTGCAGACTTAGGCAGAATCCTGACCAATAAGGTAAATAAAGCCGGTGTTTAAGCATCCTACTAATTATTCTCTGTGGCTGCCAATTAGCATATTAATTAGCATTACATATGAACACATATGCACACATAAAGAGAATGTCTCTTTCTCTGTTAGTTCAGTATTCCCTGTTACTTGAGAAGTCGGCCATAAGTGATTATTCTCATCTGGAATCTGAATTTAAAAAGTATCCTGGAGTCTTGCTGAGAGACAGGAACATTGTAAATGGGAACAACTCTCCACTGGAAACCTTCATTTCCAAAGTAAGAAGAACTGCATTCTGTGAATAAGTGTTTCAGTGGAACATGCTATAATGAGCAATTACGTTGAAGGGCCTTGAATGTAGGTATTAATTTTAGCATTGTGAAAAATATCCTACATCCCAGCTGTGCAACTGGTTAAACTGAAAGCTGTTTCTACAGTTTAAGCATGAGTACCTTTAACCTTAAGATTTAAGTGAGTTTGCCTTGTGTTTGTGCTCACTAGATTTCATGCAGATTTTAGATTTTTCTAAGGCCTATTTCATCACTGGTGGCAGAAGAGGTTCTATTATGAGCTTTGTGATGCTAGAAGAGTCAATTTTTGTCCCAAGCTTAATTCTTTTATTATTCTTTATCTACAGAAGATACTCCTGAGAATGAATATTTTTAATAAATTGTGTTGTTCCTAGAATTACAAGTTTTGGATTGTAGCAGTTATTCTATAATATGTAAGGCCAAGGATTACCTATGTGCTGTATATTCTTTCAATATATGCTTGCTGTTAAGTTACAAGGCTCACTGCATTTCTGCCTAAGCATATCTAGAAATGTTTTGAGTCTTTCCCTATTTTACCTAGAGTTGTGGGGTTTTTGGCTTTTAATATTCATAGTGCATACACATATCTTCCAAAGCAGGATAGAAATTTTGTGTAATTGGCTGTAAATGGATGTTTCATATTCAGCTGCAACTTGGAGTTATGGTTTAAGAGTGGTTTTAAACATTTTTATTAAGACCAGGCTGCTGCTGTTCATTTTAAAAGTTAATGTGTTTTCTCAGCATGGAAGTCATATAATTGATTTGTACATTTGAGTGGAGAGCATGATCCCACAAGAAGCCAAAATTGCCTGGCCAACACATTTACCCTGTGGAATGCTCATATGATGCTGTTCACTTTTTCAAATAAAAATAAACAGTAGGAACATTTCTTCAGCAAGAAATTACTTTGACACTAAAAGGATCTATTGTCTCAGAATGTGAGGTGGGTATGTGAAAGAGTGCATTACCGTCCACTGTTTTTTTTCTTGTAACATGGGAATAAACTGACCCTTGATAACACCTAGGGTGTGGTTCTAGGAACCATTAAGGTTGAGAGCATTATCACTGAATAATAAGCGTGATTAATTCACTACAGTGACAGGCAGGCATGTCAGTAATTTAGAAAAAGGACTTCAAAATCCATTTGGAACAAGTTAGAGAATAAGAATAAACAAGTAATCTGAGGACCCTTTCAGGTCTTTCAGCAAACATAGGTCTATAAAAATATCTGCGAGATCACCAAATGCAATTGCAGGCATCACATAATACAAATCATTCCCTTTCAAAAAATATGTTTCACAAGTATGTGTCTAACCCATCTTCTTTTTCAGACTAGTAATTCTGTATGCATAATATCTTTGCTAGTAAGTTTATTGTGAAAATATAACTTGAGTAGAGAACTAATATTTTGCTCTTCATTTTTATGAAGATATTTTTATAGGTATTGGAATATTTTATGACAATATATGGGAAGGTTTTTTTCAGAGTGAAGATAATCAGCAATGAAATTAATTGCTCTGAGAGACTGTGAAATCTCCATTTTTGGTGATACTCAAAGCTCAGATTGACAATGCCCTAGGCAATTTATCTGACATTGAAATTAGAGCCAACTTCAAATTTGGTGCTGCATT